CCGCCGCTACCGATGCAAGCAAAGAGAACAAGATTCACACTGATGTCATGCTTTTCAATCGCTGGAGCTATGACGGAGTTGAGGTAGGTTCCGAATCTCTTTGATCGTTTTCATATTCGATAGCTTTTAGCAGCTCATTACTTTGCTAGATTCGAGTTAATTTACTTCATTTTGTGTTTTTTATATCATGAAAATTGCAACTTGTAGCACCTGAGATTATTATGGAAATTCGAAGATTAAAGTAATCTGGTTGATGTAGCTTTGTTATGAACTTCTATGAGTTAAAACTAATCTGGTTGATGTAGTTTTGTTATGAACTTCTATGAGTAAAAACTAATCTCGTTGATGTAGCTTTGTGATTTTTATGAACTTTTACGAGTATAAACTGATCTGGTTGATGTAGCTTTGTAATTTGTATTAACTTTCATGATTTGAAATGTTAAAGACTCATTTTTTGACTCCAAGTGGCTGGTTACATGAATTTTCATGGTCAATTTATCCATTTAGCACTAGAAGTTCTATATGTTTCCTAATGGTATATATATCTATAACAAAAGGGGGTGTTTGACCAGGAAAATTGATTATTTGGAAATAGTAAGTGTTTGTTTTCTAAGTTAAATGATACTATTTGATAATTAGAGTCGTGTTTGGTCATAAATGCAAATTGGAGTTGTTTTTGAATTTTTGGGAGTAATTTGGAGTCGTAAAAGTGAAGACAAATTTAAATTTATGGCCAAATGTGAAAAGTACAAAACTTTCATGGGTTAACTGCCTCTTTAAAGACTCAGTGAACATTGGACCTTGACTTGAGCTAATAAAATGAATAAAACTTGACCTTAGAAAATTGGTATCAACCATGTAAATCTTTTCCACTGTACCATATTTTTGCTAGTTTCTATTGAATCCAAGAGTTTGTAGTTCTTAGTGAAAGTTTTAATATTTTGTCAGTAACATTCCGTGATGAATATTCCTTCTGCTTCTGTGTTTATACTTGTGTATTACTTTAAACTCCATTAGAGAGACTGCAATCTTGAATACAATTTGTAAGATCTGTCATTAACTATGATCTCAATTTCTGGTGAAGATCAATGACATGTCTGTTGAGGATTACATCACAGCCACTGCTAACAAGCACCCAGTTTACATGCCACACACAGCTGGTAGATACCAGGCCAAGCGTTTCAGGAAGGCCCAGTGCCCAATTGTTGAGAGGCTTACCAATTCTCTCATGATGCATGGAAGGAACAATGGAAAGAAGCTCATGGCTGTTCGCATTATTAAGCATGCAATGGAGATCATTCATTTGTTGACTGACCAAAACCCAATTCAAGTCATTGTTGATGCTGTTATCAACAGGTGAGCTCAGATGATGAATCCTTAATACATTTTCTTTAGAGTGTGTCTAAATTACGTTGTTGATTACCCATTGAAGTTGATTTTTTGTTTAGTTTTGAGGATTTTGTTGCCTAATAGTGTGCCTGTTTTGGAATAAATCTATGTTCAGTATTTGTAACAAAATGTTGTTTTTTGCTAATTCTGAAGTTCAATATTCAAAATTCTGGTGAATAAGTTTTTCCAGGTGATGCTTAGACTTCATTTAAACACTATTTCATCTTTCAAATACTCTTTTGCAACTTCAGATCAAATAGTTTTTTTTCCAACGTCAATGAAATATACATGTGCTAACTATATCTGTCTCATTGATGGCTTTTCTTCCCCATTTTGATCATTTAGTGGGCCAAGGGAAGATGCAACACGTATTGGTTCTGCTGGTGTTGTCAGACGTCAAGCTGTTGATATTTCTCCACTTCGCCGTGTTAACCAAGCAATTTATTTGCTGACAACTGGTGCACGTGAGAGTGCTTTCAGGAACATCAAGACCATTGCTGAATGCCTTGCTGATGAACTCATCAATGCTGCCAAGGGTTCTTCTAATAGGTAAAGGGATAGAGAACATTAAACAGATTGCCTTTTTTTTTTTTTTTGCATATGTGAAACTTCATTGCTTACTACTATGGATGGTCTTTGTTTCTGCAGCTATGCCATTAAGAAGAAGGACGAGATTGAAAGGGTTGCCAAGGCCAATCGTTAAGAGATTGATGTTGGAGCAACTTTTATTGAGAGACTTTTTGGTTATGCTATTTTCTCATTTCTGTTTTCATGTAGGCATTATAGCATCTGCTACTCCTTATGGATTTAGTTTCTTGGAGGATTTATGTTTGGTATTGTTATAAATGTTAAATTTTGAAGTTCCTTTATTCGGGTTCTTGGTAGAGTTTTGTTTAAACACATGGTATGGTATGATTTGTTTTAGATGTTTCAAGTATGAAGATGCTTAAACTCTGCATTTGTTAGCCAATCACGTCATGTTTACTAGATTTGCAATCGTTCATTAAACAAGTAAATGAATGAGAAAAGCATAAAGTTGAGATCAACTACGAGAATACAACCAAAGGTAGTTCTAAAGTTTGGACAAATACATGTCTGAGTTATGTTACTATAGAATGACAATACTAGAAAAGGATATTAATCTTCTCTAATAATACTATGGCTAGTCAGAATCGAGCTCTATATTATGAATTAGTGATAAACTATAAAGATTAACTTGTGATTATTTTATAAGTGATCTAATCATATAAGAAAATTTACAGACAATTTCCTCTCTTCATATTAGCAACCTTCTTGTCCTTGTCACTCAATTTAAAGTTAACATTCCAACCAAAAGTGCAAATTTGGCATTTTTTGATACACAGAAAATGTTAGAACTTATTACAAAGAAATAATGGCTGGGTCATTATCTTTGCATCAATTAATAATGCTACCCAAATAATAAAAATAAGGAATTTTTTCTAAATCAATTTTAACCTTTTGTTATTTGGATTGTTTAAGAAGCTCTCTATTTTGCCTCCAAGTGGCAGTATTTCCATATCCTTTGCAATTTCCTCTCATTATTTAATTTACCTTTAAATAATGCTAACCTTTTACCAAGTCCAACTATGATAAACCAATGGAACATTCATAAATATATCTTCCCTATTTTATGTTTATAATATTTCCCCAACAATAATTCCATCAATATAACTTAATAATGCCATTTAATTAAGATTATTGTCACCTAAATTGTTTATCATCGTCATGATTACCTGACAAAGTTTTGTAAGACCACTTTTCAAGATTCGTGAGAGTTCTGCTTTACACTTTTACGGGATTGCATTAATTATGTTGTTGATGTTGTTGTTAATGTTCGTGTGGATGTAACTAGGTCAACTAAAATTGAATGAAATTTTGGATTGATCAAATTTTGGAAAAGTAATAGTACATAAAATAGTGAGGAATGCGTCATCTTTTAAGATAAAATAATAAATCTTCAATTTTCTAAGAAGAAAAAAGGAACAATTATTACCTAATACCAAACAAACACAATAAAACAACATAAAATAGGACAACTCAACTTCTGAACTATACATAACTCAAAGTTTTTCTTCTTCCTTTTTTTTTTTAACTAAATAACCATCTAATATTCACTGGCTCGACTAATTCAAATCTGCACTACATAAAAGAAGCACTCCCTACCATAGTTTTTATCATATCTCAAAATAGGAGCGAAACCACAGTGCAGCTTTGACCTAGACCCTATAATAAACTCAAAATTCTAGCTCCGTTTCTGTCTCAAACCTTCATTTTTGTGTAAATAAATAGCTACCACAACAACAACAACAACAAAAACAAAGACATGTAGGCAACTTCCTACAAAACCTTTAACAACTCTCAACTCTAAACACCTTCAAAACTCCAACTTGCCTCTTCTTTTTTACATAACACTTTGTTTCCAATGGAAATCAACTTTCAAACACATCATCATCAAAACACAGAAATCTCAATGAAAAAAGTAACCAAATCTATCAAGGGAAGAAAAAGAAGTAATAATAGTAATAGTAACAAGTTTGTTGGTGTAAGGCAAAGGTCTTCAGGAAAATGGATAGCTGAGATTAAAGACACAACACATAAGAAAATAAGAATGTGGCTTGGAACTTTCGAAACTGCTGAAGATGCTGCTCGTGCTTACGATCAAGCTGCTTGTCTCCTTCGTGGATCAAACACACGAACGAACTTTGTTACTACTCGTGTTTCAGCAGATTCTCAACTTGCTTATAGGATCAGAAATCTTATTGATAGTAAGAAAATTGCAAAACAGAACAAACAGGGGAACTCTGTTTTTGGTTCAACATGTAGTGAGAAAATTCAAGAAAGTCATGAAAAAGTACTTAAACTTTGTGATGATAACAACTTATATAAGCCTACAACAATCGCGACTACTATGACTCAGTCTCAAACAAGTTGTGATCGGCAATATGAATCCTCACTGACTACGTGTCATCATTTAAATTCATCTGACGCGGACAACAACGACTTTTATAAGCCTGATATGATGAGTTGCTCGAGTTCGTGTACTTCACAACCTCAAGTGTCATGGGGGTTTGAATTTGCTGAAGAATTGTTAGATTTTCCTATTATGGATGAGAGTATAAGTGAAATGGGATGTACAGAATTTGAGAGAATGAAAGTGGAAAGGCAAATATCAGCATCACTTTATGCTGTGAATGGTGTTCAAGAATACATGGAGAATGTTCATGATATTGATGATTTATCTCTTTGGGATCTTCCTCCTTTATGTTCTTTGTTATCTTAAAAAAAATTCTCCAATTGTTTATGTTGCCAACCATTATTTTTGCTTTGTTTTCTCTCCTTTAGGAATAAGAAGAGAGAGATGAAAGAAAGGTAGTCTAGAGTTAATCTTTTGTTTTACCCCGCCTTGTGAAGGTCACTCGAGTGTCTATGATAGATCCAATCAGTCTCGTAATGAAAATAATTTTTTTTCAATATTAAAGCTATTATCACTACTCACAACAACTCAATTAATCGGTAAACTACTCGAGGATTCATCCAGGGCCTTGTTAAGCTCACTCGAGTGTCTATGACATATCCAATCAGTCTCATAGTGAAAAGAAGTCTTTTTCAATATTAAAGTTATTATCACGACTCATAACAACACAATTAATCTGGTACACTATTCGAGGCTTTATCCGGACCTTGTGAAGGTCACTCGAGTGTCTATGACAGATCCAAATCTCCAATCAGTCTCGAGGCTTCATCCGGGGCCGTGTTAATCAACAAAAAAGTTATATCAGAGCCAGGTTTCGATCCTGGGACCTGTGGGTTATGGGCCCACCACGCTTCCGCTGCGCCACTCTGATGTTGTTGTTATCTTTCTGCTCGTTTATTATTTAACTGTTTTTAGTTTTATTCAGAAAAAAAAAGAAGAGATACTCTGATGTTGTTAAATTGTTTTGATGGAATCTTTATCTTTTACCATAAGATTAGATGTGGGTATACCCTTGTGTGATTCATGTTGAAACATATACTCGAGGGTGAGTGCAGGGCGAACAATTTTTAAACCGGACTCTGCATTCATTATATAGAAAAGATCAGTTGCAATACATAATGATTTGAATAGTAACACACATTAGATGGTTGACAAACCTCAAGGAATATGTTCACTACTTTCTCTACACATTTTGTTTATAACTTATATGTACATTGTTCAAGAACTAAGCATTTCAATGTGTTCATTCCTTTCTCTACACATTTTATTTTGGAAGTACTTCCTCTATGTTCGTCGTTCCTCCTCCACAACTATTTTAGTCATAATGATCTATTAATATATTAGTTTTGTGCACGTCCATTATCTAACTCAGAAATACTCAAAAAAATCGATTTTGAAACTTCATCAACACGATGACTATATTAGCAATGAGGATATTACACATGAAGACATAAGTTCAAAAGTAAGTTTTCAAATATATAGCATACACAAATATACCTGAGGAGATGGATATATAGTAAGGCGAAGCTTCGACTTCTTTTCCCACTGTGGATCATTCTACATAAAAGAAGTCAGTTGATATAATTCAAATATTCAAATGCAGAATAACACTGATAAAGTCTTTGAACATGAAAAAAAGAAGGTACACGTATAATGTCCCCTGGCAAAGTTGTTCGAAGCATCCTCCTTGCTTCATCCACAACAGTAGGCTCAAAATCAACAAAATACAGCCTGAAGCACATGTTCAATTTTTTTTTTATATAAAGAATGGAATATAAAAAGCTGACTCTTGGTGCTTCTTGGAATATATATCTTTCTTTCTAGGGTCATTTCTGTAATGGTAAGGGTATATGTGAGTCACTTTTGTAACGAGGAGTATATCAACTCTAAATCGCAAAGTTGAGGGATATATGTGAGGTACTTTGACCTTCGTTCTACTTGGAAAATTTGGACTGCACTAGTGTGCAACTCAATGCGAGGACGAGAGGCCAAGCATTTCCTCAGCATCTGTAAATTTATTATTAATCAATTATAGATGCTATATTGCTATGCCATTATCAAAATGGCTAGATTCATATTCAGAAAATGTACTATTTTTCTTGATGATATGAATATGATTCCCCCCTTTTATTTTATCCAATCTCATAGAAAGTTGTCGTTGGACGATTACAATTTGCACTGTAAGAGAAGACACCTATATGCGTATGGGGCTTAGTCAAAAGTACCAAAAGCATAATATGGACTGTGGAGAATCATGTTCTTTTCTTTTCATTGCTTTCTCTCCAAAGTGGAACCTAGAATTTGCTTCTTCCGCGTTATATATATTCTAAACTCTTGTCAACAAAATCATTCTAAACTCTTATATATACGTCTCATGTGAAACACCAAATTATCTGAGTCTCCTCCTCGGGCATCCTCAATTATCATCCTTCAATATGGTAAGCAAGTATATGTCTTATTTGATCTTTTTCTTTTCTTTTGATAACTGTGGTGTTGGGGCTAGCTTGAGTGCACCTCGACTAATTCCACCTAATACCTGTCACTTCCTACCAGCAACAGGTACCAGGTAACTCTGTCTACCAAAACTAGAATAGATGGAAAGATTGATAGATTGATTGTATTGATATATTGATTGCTTTGAACAATTAGTATTAGTTGATTGAACATGAGAGTGAATCATCTTTTGTAGAGTTTCGAGGATCATGGGAAACATACCATTTCAGTCGGACCATGGGGAGGTGAAAATGGATTGCATTGGGATGATGGAGTTTATTCCACCATAAGGCAGCTGGAAATAGCTCATGGAACAGGAGTTGATTCGATTAAGGTCGAATATGACAAAAATGGAACCTCAGTGTTCTCCGAGAAGCATGGTGGCGGTGTAGGTGCTAAAACAGACAAGGTTGGGATCACTTGTATCTTGTACTACATGTTCTTAGCAC